TGGACACAACTGAGCAACTAAGCATGCATGCACATATGACTGCAGTTAACAAAGATTATGTCATTTTTGAACCCTCTGATTTTTAGGAATATCGAATTTACGGTCTTCTCAACAGGTAATCCAACCATACCATATTAAATATTCTCATAGACTGTGAAAGTGGAAAGTAAAAGTTGCTCAGTTGTGTCCGACTCTTTGTGACCCCATGGACTGTATAGTCCATGGAATTCTCCAGGCCAGAATACTGGAGTGGGTAGGTTTTCCCTTCTCCAGGGGATCTTCCCAACCCAGGGATTGAACCCAGGTCTCCTGCATTGCAGGCAGATTCTTTACCAGCTGAGCCACAAGGGAAGCCCAAGAATACTGGAGTGGGTAGCCTATCCCTTCTCCAGGGGATCTTCCCGACCCAGGAATCAAACTGGGGTCACCTGCACTGCAGGTGGATTCTTTACCAACTGAACTATGGGGGAAATTTTTCGTAGGCTGTAAATTTTTCCAAAAAATTTCAGTAAGATCAATAAGGATAAACATAAAAAACCTATTCCAGAGTCTTGTGTTAAAATCTTAAATGGCACTAATAAAACAGAATTGATAAGAAAATACAGAGATAAAAGTGGAGTTGGGAAAGAATAATAGGAAACCTTAGGAGAAGAAAGTATGTCAATAGAAAACAAATAAAAGAGGAAAACTTGAAAAAGGTCAATTGACAAGGCACTATCTGCAGAAAACAAAAGAAGGAAAACAAAAAGAAAGAACAATAGGAAAATGAAGGAAAAATGAACATAAATTAATGAGAATAATAGAAACCAAAACAGAAAACTGAAGACCAGAAGACCAAAGCACACATTTTTAACAAAAAAAAAAAGTTTTTTGCCACACCACATGGCTTGTGGGATCTTAGTTTCCTGATGAGGGTTTGAATACACACCTTCTGCAATGGAAGCATTGAATCCTAACCACTGGGCTGCCATGGAATTCCCCAACAAAAAGATTTTTTTTAAAAAAATCTGTAAGAATGGTAATATTAATATTTAATACTCAAATAGCTGTACATATTAAAATTGACCATATTATGAAGTAAGCAGATACCCTTTGCACCAAAGGGAAGTTACAGTGAAGATCGCTAGGGCTTTGGAAAAAAAATCCATGTTCTCTATTTTAGATAATTCTTCTTTTTAGAAAGAGCTCCTATCTTGCCATTTAGTCGTGGGTAGAGACTGAATGCCTAACCATGGAACATCAAGGGACCATAATAACTGAGCTTCTTTTTATGAAATGAGTGTTATTTGGACCACCAAATGATAAGGTTGAATGTGCTTGGCAGGAATCTATTATCAAATAAGATACTGGATTTGAGCAAAGATGAAAGACACAGGTAATTGCATGAAGAGTTTTTCAACAGTGATTCTTCCTCTCCTTCAACCTATACTTATGGCCTCGTGGGAGTTTCTTATCACTGATTTATCCAGGAGGAAGATAACAAATCCAGGACTGGTTTCCAAATGGTTCTTTATGATTTGCTGGCATCCAGGCACATGGTTGTATCATTATAGTTCCAGTGGAGAGATAGTTCTGGAGAGCAGTAATAGAGGGGAAATTCTTCTAATGAGCATAATTGAGAGCAACACATTTGAATGTCCACGTTATCTGGACTGAAACACGATCAGAAATATGGATCTTCAGTGATTCACCAGCACTTGCTAACATTTGGATTGGATTGTCAGGGACTCTGAGAAGACAAGATTGGAATATTGATACAAGAAGGTCTGGGGAAGAGGTATATGAATGGCTCTCTCAGAACACAGACAGGGTGTAAAGATATTTGTTCCATGCAAATATTTATCAAAGGGTATCGCTTGAAGAGGAGGCTTTCAATAATCAGGTGGACAAAGTGATGCTCTCTTGATGTCTATAAGCCACTGCCCACAGTCACCCCAATGCTTTCTTAATGGATCCATGTGTGAAGTGGTCATATGTCTTGAAATTGAGGCTCTGCATGGGCTCAGCAATATTATCTGCTCAGGAAGGCAGACCTTGTAGCCTTGCTACCAATTAGCTGAATTACCAAATTACCACTGAGTGCTTAACTAGTTAACAGCATAAACCAATACTTGGTCTTCTATTTGATATCCTTCTTGGAGGGACAAGCCAGCTATCTGTTGAGAACATTGGACCACTTCCCTCATGGAAGAGGACAGAAATCTTTTCACTGGGTTATACATATAGACACACACACATATTATAGATTTGCCCTCCCTTCAAATAATGCTTCTGCTGGCATCACCATCCATGAACTCATAAAATGTCTTATTCATTTTCATTCTATTCTGTACAACATTGGTTTTAATTAAGTACCTGGCCTGACAGAACAGTGGAGTGGCTTACTCAAGATTCAGTCAATTTGAAAACAATATCCAAAATGTGGTTTATTTCCCATCTTTCATCATCCACATCTTACATCTTAAAATGCAGCACATGCTTAGAATGAGAGCCCAGGATGTGGTAGTCCTTCCCATAGCCAGACTAGAGTGGAATAAAAAGGATGGAAGCGGGAGTGGCTCTTTTCACTATTTTACCTAAAATCCTGATTGCAGAGTTTTTGCTTTCCATCCCCCTAACATCAAACTCTAAAGATCTGGAGATCTTGATTCCTGGGGTAGGAATGCTTCTATCAGGGACCACAACAATGATTCTTTTACTGGACTGGAAGATGAAACTTCCAGAGTGGATGTTCAATGCCCCTCACGCTACTGAACCAGCAGATTAGCTTTTTCTGGATGGAGAGATTAAAAAAATCTTTGCTGAACTTTTTCACTGGTGTTACGGGGTGAATTCTGCCCCCTGCCATTCACATTGAGTACTAACCCCTAGTACCTCAGAATGTGACGGTTTTTGAAGACAGGGTCTTCAAAGAGGTAATTAAGATAAAATGAGGCCCTTAGGTTAGGCCCTATCCCAATTTAACTGGTGTCCTTGCGAGATGAGGAGGTTAGGACACATACACAGAGGGAAGACCACACGAAGAAAGAGAGAGAAGGCAGCCCTCTGAAAGCCCAGGAGAGAGACCTCAGAAGAAACCAACCTCGCCGACACCTTGATCTTGGACTTCCAGCCTCCAGAATTGTGAAAAGATACATTTCTGCTGCTGAAGCCACCTAGTCTGTGGTATTTTGTCTTGGCACCCTAGAAGCTAACACAACTGGTAACATATACTTTTTATAACCAACAAAAATACCAAAAAACACCAACAACTAAACAAAAACCTTTCAACCTTTTAAAGTATGATTGGTTTTACAGCTGTAGCTTATTATTGTTACACTTTATTTTGAATTCTTTCAGGGAGGGTTTATAGCTTATTTCTGCCTAATTTATACCACTTTTCCCTCAAATTCCAGTTGATAGGCAAGATAGCACTCCCCATTTCAGTTATTAGCTCCTGTTGCCTAATAACTATATACAAAACCTTAATACACATTTTTTATTGCTGTTGTTATGCTTGTCTTATGATATAAGCTCAGAATTCATCAGAACATCCTGGGGGCTCTGGGATCCAAAGTCAAGTTTCTGATCTAAAGCCAGTGCACTCAATCTTTTTTATCCACCTCAACACAGAACAGAATCCTGTGTGCGGGATCCCACACACAGTTTCATTAACTTCTCCAGTCTTCACCATTCTCGGAAGCATAACAGAATGGAAATTAGTATTATTATATCAATGACCCAGGGATATTTTACTTTTATTTTTCGGCTGTGCCGTGTGGCTTTCGGAATCTTAGTTCTTTGAGCAGGGATCGAACCTGGTCTTCCTGCAGTGGAAGCATGGAGTCCTAATCACTGGACCGCCAGGGAATCCAGGGATTACTTTAATTTTTAAAAGGTATATCATTAGTAAACTTCAACAATTTATTGTCAAATTGTTAAAAATTATTGTTACAGGGCTTCTATCATTTTACCAATGATCCTAGTGAATTGCATGTTTAAAGTGCTGAACACTGTTGATGTACTAAAAGGACACGTAAGTGGGTAAGAACCTGCACCACTCTTCTCCACCAGCCACGCTGCCGGATAGGTTAAGACACAGTTAAGGAAAAAAGTGTGATTTTTGTGGTGAAGCAGAAGTAGCTCCTGTGTCACTGTCACCATGGAAGCCTGGTACAGAATGGGGTTTTTATAAGAGAAGCAGCAGGAAATGGCAGGCACCTGTTACAGTACAAGGACATGCGCTTTGGTCCTCCCCAGAAAATGAATTTCTGGTTCTTTTACAAGGACTACTTTGCAAAGTTGTAAAGTACAGTTTGAAGGGCTGTTGTAAATTTCAGCACAACAGGCTATAAGCCTTGATATGAAAAAATACCTCATTGTAGAATTGTGACACAAGTGAATGTATTTGTTCTGAGAGTATTTATTGACTGCCTACTATGTGTCAGACTATCCTAGATGCAATGATGAAGACAATAAATAAATGTTCCTACCCTTCTTGAGTTTATGAATCAGAGATGAAATTTGTTTCATAGTGTGTGTGTGAGTCGTTCAGTCGTGTCCAACTCTTTGTGACCCCATGGATTGTAGCCTGCCAGGTTCCTCTGTCCATGGGATTCTCCATGAAATAACACTGGAGTGAGTTGCCATGCCCTTCTCAGGGGATCTTATGGATCCAGGGAACAAATTCAGGTCTCTTGCATTGCAGGAAGATTCTTTACCATTTGATCCACCCGGGGAAGTACTGTTTCATAGCGGTGGATGCTATATTCTAGCAAAATGGTGAGTTGCAGCACTGGGGATTTTTAGAGTTCTCCATTTGCTTTTCTTTTGATTTAAAAACACTTTGTTGCCATCTTGCCATCTTTTTTGCAAGTAGGCCAGTTTTTGTTAATCTCATTGATAATATATCCAGTTGAGGAATTTAAAAACATCACAATACCTTAGAGCTGAAGGAACCTGAACTGAGAAAACAGTTTTAACCCCTTTATTTCACAGATGGAAAAAAGGAAATGACTTACCTAAATCTACCCATTGCATTACCAAGAGATTGAAGACTAGGCCTTAGATCTCTGTGTGCCTTCCTCATAGTTCCTGGGTGTCTGCATCAAGGTGTGAATTGTAAGAAGCGATGCTTGCCAGAAATACAGGTGGTGCAAGAAGCTCAGAAATGGCTGTAAAGTGTAAACCTGATTTGGTTAACCAAAAAGTAAGGCGTGAAAACAAGACACAAAAAAACAAACTTGTGGTTACCAAAGGGGAGAGGGAAGCAGGGAGGGCAAATTAGGGATTAACAGACACAAATTAACATGGATAAAATACATAAGCGACAAAGATATATTGTATAGTACTGAGAATTATAACCATTATCTTGTAATAATTTATAATAGAGTATAATCTATAACAATATTGAATCACTATGCTGCAGCCTGAAATTGATATTTTTTCGTCAACTACACTTCAATTGAAAAAGAAAAGAAAGAAAACAGGACTTGGTGAAAGACTGACAGGATATTTGAGCTCTAACCTGGCCAGTTCACTAAAGAAAACATTTAACCTGGTTTCTAAATTCCTTGTCTTTCAAATGTAGTTAGGCTATTTGATGAGAACATTTGCATAGTACAAATGTGCAAATTTCCAGCCCTTTAAAACATGAATTTGTGTAAAGAGATTTACAAAGTGCCAGCACATAGAGCTAAAGAGTGTGTGTTTTTTTTTTTTTAAATTAGGCCAAGTCTGAGAGCCTAAGCAAAGTTCTTGATCAGCCCGGGGACACAACGTTACCAGAACTTTATTATTAATCTGGTTGTGAATTACTGAATAGATTGAGGAGGTGGGGCTGGAGCTCAGAGACTAGTTGGATGGCAACTGCCAGAGTTCAGGAGGGCATCCAGTATGCTGAGGTAATCAGACCTGGGAGGACAGTGTTCTTTTTTAAATTTATTTTTAATTGAGGGATAATTACAATATTGTGTTGGCATCAACATGGATCAGCCATAGGTATACATATGTCCCCTCTTTCCTGAGCCTACTCCACCCACCCCACCCTTCTGGGTTGTCACAGACCCCCGGTTCCCTGAGTCATTAACAGCAAATTCCCATTGGCTCTCTATTTTACAGATGTTAGTGCGTATATTTCCATGCTACTCTCTCCATTCAGCCCACCCTCTGAAACTGTTCTTTTCTTAACAATGTTCAGGGTATATGCAAGCTCGTTATTTAAAAAGAAGAAAAAAGGGTCTTATGAGTGTTTTCTTGATTGTTTTTTCGAAGCAGTTACTGTAGAGGCCTGGGAGTCGAGAAGAGCGCATCCGCAATCAAACCAGGGTTAGAGTCCTAGCTTTATCCTTTTCTAATTATGTAACAGAGGAAATCACCTAACCTCTCTGGAGCCTCAGTTTCTTTCCCTCCGGAGTAAGGGCAACAATCCTCACTTGGTAGAGCATTCGTGTGCACAAAACCAAGTGGCTTGAGCACCTAGCAATGGCGTTCGCTGGTGGCTCCCGCCTGCCCCCGGGGATCCTTCGGGCTGGGGCAGACGCGCCGAGACTCGCCAGGCCCGGAAAGCGGTTCTACCTGGAGCCCGCGGCCGCGCACTCTGGTCCGGAGCCGAGCTGACCTCCGAACGCCGGCCCACCTTGGACCAGGCTTCGGGCGGGATGGCAGAAGATAACCCCGACACAAGGGCTCGAGGGACGCCCAAGGGAAGCGGGCGGCTCGGGGCAGAGAGGCCGCGGCGGCGGCGGCGTCGGAGGCTGCGGCGGCCACCCCCACGCCGCCGCCGGCGAACTCCCCGCGAGTGCTGGGCCGCGCTGGCCGCGTTTGAAGTCTCCGGCGCGGCCGCTGGTTGGCTGGCGCGGGTCACGTGGCCCAGGCAGGAGTTTCCCCGACAGCTGGAGGCTGCGTGGGATCCGGCGGCGGCTCCCGAGCTCGGCGGTGCGGCCTTCCCCACCCCCTCCCTCCCTCCTCCCCCGCCCGCTTCCGCCCGGCTTATTATCCTCCTTATTGACAAACAGCGGCTGCGGCGGCGACTCTCGGCGTGCGTTTGTAGCCAAGTCATGGGAGACAAGAAGAGCCCCACCAGGTAACAGCGCCCGGGCCCCCGGGCCCGGACTGTGCGGGCGGCGGGGCCCTTGCGCCGGGCTTCGGGCAGCCGCCTCGCTCGCCGCCGGGGCAGCGGGGCGAGAACGGGGGCGGTGCCGCCGCTGAGCGAGCTCGGGGCGGGGGCGGCCGCGGGGCCCGGGCGCGGCCCGCTGGTGACCCCGCGCCGCGTCGTGTCCGGGTTGTGTCCTGCAGGCCGAAGCGGCAGCCGAAGCCGTCCTCGGATGAGGGTTACTGGGACTGTAGCGTCTGCACCTTCCGGAACAGCGCCGAGGCCTTCAAGTGCATGATGTGCGATGTGCGGAAGGGCACCTCCACCCGGTGAGTCCTGGGCCTGCCCCGCGCGCCGCCAGCCCCCGGGGTCCCGGCGCCGAGGACGCCCCTGCGGCCGCCGCCCCCTCCCAGGATACTGGCAGACCCGGCGGGCCGAGGCGAGACTGAGGTGGTGGCCGCGATAGGAACTGGGTCAGATTGATCACGACCCGAGCGATGCTTTGCGGTGAGGGTAATTGAAGAGGCTGTAATGTTTTTTGCTGCCAGGAGAGAATAAATTATTGAAGGGAGGCATTAACTCTACCGCGATTTAATTCGTGTCGCTGGGTGTAATGCCCCCCCCTCCCCCAATCCGCACCACATTTTCTGGATGAAATAATGCTGGCTGCATTGTTGTGTTGGTGTGTAGGAATCAGAGAAAAACCATGAAAACCTCTTTAGGAGCAAACGATGTAATTTAATTTCGTTCCTGAAAAAAAGTATCTGATTAGAGAATACACAATAGATTAACCTTCCTTTTTTTATATAGACTCTGGAAAGGTCAAATCAGGGGTTTGTGTAGTGTTTTAATCTCAGTTCTTTAATGTTTTATAAATAAATAGTTGGAGGTGAGCCCAGTCATAGGGACACATTTTTCCTGAAAGTATCTGAATATCTTTAGTTTGATTAAATGGCAATTTATTATACTATACAAATGAGATAAAATGATCTCTGCCTATTTTCAGTCTTTATTTCATTGTCAGCTTACAGTGTGATAACAGTCTTTTAAAAAACCACTTAAGTGTATTAAGTGGATGAAGATCATTCAGGAGATTCAAAGTCAGTGACATTCTTGAACTGCCAGCACTTTTAGTTGCTGTGATTCGTGGCCTGATATTTAGATGGCATATATTTTTGATTAAAGTTTCTTGGAAAGTGAATTATCACGAGTATACTAATGCAATATACTGTTGCTTTTGAAAAGGTCTATATGATATTAACCTTAGGGGAATATATTCGGTAGAAGTTATTCTAAAAATGAGATATCTTGATTCTAATTAAATTTTAAATGTAGAGACATAAATGGTTTAAAAAATCTTGAAATTTTAAGATTTGTGTATTGAAGCTAGCTGCTTTTGACATACCTGTCTTTTTGTAAACCATAGTATGCTTTTTGTATAGTCTCATTAAATTTAATAAATTGTTAAGTATTTTCCTGATATCTTTTAAAAAGCAAACTTTAGAACAACTACTAAATTCAAGGGAATGTAACAGAACATACGAAAAAGGAAAAAGCCCCATTTGCTGAAATGAATGTGGTAGCTATTTTTGGACCCGTGACTTAAGTATTTGGAAAAGCAAAGTATCTTTATACCTTTTAGTTTATATAAGGTTTGATTTGGCTTAGATTATATTTGTTTTTCAATGTCATACTTTTTAAAATGCTCAATAAGCAATGTTAAGAAAAGGCAGGAACTTTAATGTGGAGACAGTTATAATCTTAATCTCTGGTACGGTATTGTTGGTTTTTGTTGTTCCCTCTCTATGTTCTTGTGGCCATTAGAAAAATACTGAAACTAGAAGAGCCTGTATGTTTATTTGCAGGGACAGCAAGGAAGGGGGGAAGCTGGTGGCCTACTCCACAGCCAGTCTTGGGGTTAGAGGAACCCTGAGAAATAGAGTAGGTGGTGGCAGCTCAGAAGAGAAGAAACAGGCCGAATACCTGGCACCTGGAAGAAGAAGGAATATAGTGCACAGGGGAGTCGGCCCAGGACAGAGAAGTGGGCCTAGTTTAAAAGAGGTGTGAGGCCCACGTTGGGGGCCCCTGACATTTTTTACCAGTACATCTGAGCTCTTATAGATCCAATTTTTAGTGGTGGAAACATTTCTTGAGAAGGACTCAGAGAAGCATTGTCATTTGGATTGAAACTGAAGAGGCTCTGGGCAACTCACCAGAAGTCTAAGGGACACTCTGTTCCTAAAAGTAAGTGTTCTACACTATGACCCTCTCAGCTTCTTCCTTCCTCTCTCTGAATTTGTCTCTTCTCTTTTGATTTTGGCCCTAAGTTAAACCTAAGAGCTCTAATTTCTCTGTTATTTGTTACTTTTCTCCCACTGTTTCTGAAATGCAGAGTGGACTCCATGTTTGGAGAGAACAATGGAACAGGGCATTGTTAATAGGGCAGATATTGATTGCACCACAAAATATTTGCCTCTCTGGTAATGTTAGAAATACAGAATTAAAGGACTGCATAATACTTGGAGGAGCAGAAGTTTCAGTAGTTGGAAGAAATAATTCTCTACGACTGACATGTTAATTAGCAGTTAGGGTAATTTCAAGAATGACGTCGGCAGGGACTGGATAGCTGCAGAGTAGAAGGAGGCAGTTTGCTGATGACTCGTTTGTGAGACTGACAGACGGGACTTCAGTCCCTGGGGTCAGACTGATCTTTGAACTGATTCTGTCTCAGTTGCCAAATGTGAGGCCATGTCTAAGCCAATCCCAGACATTTGAAAAACTTTTCCTTTTAAACCTCCAGAGAAGATGGAGTCTGTGGTCTCCCTTTAAAGTCTTTCTGACAGTCTTTCTTGTTTAAAGATTATCTAGTTCAAATCCTTTTATATTGCAACAGAAGATCTTTTCCTTTGACAATATCCCTGGTAAGTCATGTTTTTCTGCAGAGTAATTGTATGAAATAAAATGGGGTTATGTTCATAGCAGTGTTTCAAGATGAAATGCGATTTGAAGTAACTTCAATTCCTAAATTGTTAGCTTCTTTAAATGTATGCCATTTCCCCAATTGAATTGCAGTTTTGTACTTACTGGCCTTAATTAGTTTAAATTTGATTAATTTTTTTTTAAAAAAACTAAAATCTAAAAAAAAAACTAAAATCTAAATAACTAGATAGTTCAAGTACTGAAAGTTTTATACATTATACTTTTGTAAGAGAATCAATGACAAATGTCAGTCTGACAGGAAAAATTGAAAAAGTTTCAGTGACAATTATTATTAAAAGTACTACACATTTTCCTTCATCTTTATATTTCACATTCTTTTAAGGCAATAGTGTCTCAGGTATAAGTCTAAGAAACTTTAAAAAATCAAGAACAATTCTGAATTATCAGAGAAAAAGAAGTAGTATAGTGTGTGTGAGGTAGTAGAATCAATGTGTTGAGTTAGAGTGGTATCTTACTGCCACTTCATATAGGAATGGAAATTAATGCTTAATTCAGATTGTAGATGTATGAAAATGAAAGTGATAGAGCTATTTGGTTTTGAACTGTGATCTAAATGAATACTTATAAAACACCTAGTCTAGAGCAGGCTTTCAAATGTAATTTCAAGTACAATAGATAGTGTTATATTTTCTCAGGGTAAATTGTATGAGTTCCTTTGGGTTTCTAAGAGATGTTACAAGATTTATGAGAAAGATTTCATATATTAGCAAGAGCACTAGGTGTTAAACTAGGAGTTTGACCATGAATTCTTATTTTTAACCACTTCAACATTCAGCAATGTTTATTGAACAATCTTATTTTGTACTGGGGTTGAGCTAGGTATTAGACTTACAGTGGTGAACAAAATAGATACTTGTTCCTTCTGTAAAATTTTATGATTTGCTGTCAGTTCAGAAACACTTTGAATTGTACCCAATTCTATACAGGAGGTAGTATTAGTAATTCTTTATGTGTGAGCAGAGGAGGTGAAATTTTCTTATTTAAAAAAATAGTGTTTATAATTAAATACAGCATTATGGTTAGGATTTGACCATTGGTAAAGAGAGTGATTTATTTTAGTTTCTATAAAATGGAAGTAAATGATAGAAAATTCACATTTTTTTGAAGAAACCTTAAACCAGTTATCATCTGATAAAAATCTTTTCAGTGTCATTGTTGTCATGCTTGCTGTCTGTCTTCTAATTTGAGGCTCGGCACAGATTTCATCTAGACTCTTGTGTGAGAATGTGGAGAAAAAAATTGAGGACCATCTCAGGCAGTCTGTTTTTCAGAAATGCAGAGTTCTGAGCCTCCCATACCTGAGGAACCTTTCCCACGACCACACAGTTATTGTTCAGAGACTTCTTATTCTAAGAGGTTGGCTTGTTTGTTTTCTCCTCTACATCTTGGGTTAGATAGTCACATGGGTTTGTTGTTTACAGAGGAATTTTAAAAGTGATTAGTGTTTGGATAGTAGTGGTTTTCAAAGTCTGAGCCCTGAGAGTCCCTAAAGACTTGTTAGGGAGTCTGTAAGGTCCAAGCAATTTTCATAATCATTCTAAGATGTTACCATGTTGACACTTGAGGTGGTGGTGCAGAGTTAATGCTAGGCAACATTGTTGGCTTGGGGCTTTGCTGGTGGCTCAGTGGATAAGAATCCGCCTGCCAGTGCAGGAGACACGGGTTCAATCACTGATCCGGGAAGATTCCACATGTCTCGGAACAGCTAAGCCCATACGCCACAACCACTGAGCCAGAGCTCGCCAGAGCTCTCCAGAGCCCAGGAGCCGCAGCAAGAGAAGCCCCCACAATGAGAAGCCCCCTCGCCACAACTACAGGAAAACCTGCACAGCAGTGAAGACCCAGCACAGCCAAAAATAAAATAGATAAATAAAATTATAAAAAACCCAAACCTGCTAGCTCTTCCAGTGGCACCACATTGCTGTGTTCATTGTAATCTTCACTACCATGCGCATGTCGTAAGAATAATGCTAGTTTCACTTTAGAATATCCTTCATGAAGCAGTAAAAAATGATTAGTTTTAGAAAGTCTTGTGTCTTTTAAAATATTCTGTCTGATGAACTGGGAAGTACAAGTAAAGCATTCCTGCTGCATACCAAAATCATGTGGTTGATTCACGGGAAAGCATTTTTGTAGTTGTTTGAGTTTTGAGCAGAACTTGCTTTTCTGACAGAACATTATTTTTATTTGAGAGAATACCTGACAAACTGTGGTTATATTTAGACTTGGATACTCATTAGATATTTTCTCAAAAATGAACATAGTCTATCACTTCAAGGAAAACAATTGATGGTATTTGTTGCCAGTGAAGAAAACTGAGCTTTCAAGTGAAAAATTTTGAAAACTTGTAATTTCTGTAGTGAGTTTAAGAGCTTCCTAGTACTTTACAGATGAGATTGGATGGTTATATCCACAAATATAATTTCTGATACTTTATCATAAAGTTTGTTATCATTTGGAAGATTTGCATAACTCAGTAAACCAGTGTTTCCCAGTTACCAGTGTATTATGTTATACAACCATACATAGATAATCCACTCAAAGTATAAAAGAACCAGTGGATTTTAAGGGAACCCTATGAAACCTTCGTTGATGTGGTTCCAGATTTCACATGCAACTAACCTTTGAGAAACAACTCCTTGTTGTGTTTTTATGCATGTATCAAAGAATATCCACAATTATCTGAAAAGGCTATTAAAATATGCCTCCCTTTCTCAACTACAAATTTGTGGGAGTCAAGATTTTCTTCATATTCTTAAAAATACACATCACGCCAAATTGAATGCAAGAGGATCCAGAGGTCTTATGTGAGTACCACTAAAAATACACAAGTACACAAAGTTATATTTGTTTTGGAAAATATAGTTTTTTTATAAAGATATATTAAAATATTTTAAAATGAACTAGTATACATTTAAATTTTTCTGTTTTTATTTTCAGTGTAGTAACTTATTTCTTGGTTTAGATAAGAGCTAGATAAACAAAAGCCCTTTAAATTTTGAGAGTATAATGAGATCCTGGGACCAAAATATTTGTGCACTGCTGGCATAGAGTTTTGCTGCCTTGGGTTTCTGTATGCAGTAGATGTCCTTCATCAAGCATTCTTTCCCTTTCTTTTATCCTTAGTGAAGTGACAGCTCTCAGATACAACCTAGTGACCCCTAGTGACCCAGTTGTTAAACTCAGAAGCCTAACCTCAGTCTTTTTCATGACACCTCAGCAATATTTGATGTTGGCAGCCTTTCCTAAAAATGTAAGTTCCCCTTCCCTGACGTCTCTAACATTCCTTTTTCTTAGTTTTCCTAGTACATTTTGAAATTAACTTCTGCTTACCCCAAACTGACTTCTCTCTATTCCTTATTTGGTATGGGGCATAAACTTTATGGAACCTCAACTAGAAACTTTCGTCGTCTCAACTCTGATTTCAGTTCATCATCCTCCCTCATGTCCAGTCTTCTTTTGGCTCTTTCTCAAATCTGTCCTTTTTACAGTTTTTGTTGGTGTCGTTAAGAAGCCAGTATCATTTCTTTCATCAGGTATTGGACAGATGGGTCTCTTCTCCTAGAACATTGCTAATGTCATCTTCAGCACTTTTTTGAAACCTATGGGATTATTTTGATTGCTCTGTATTAAAAACAAGTTGAGATCTTTCTAGTGACTGCTGAATAAAGGTTGAGCTCTTGAGCATGGCGTTCATGGCCATGACAACCTCTGTCTAGATTGCCTTGCTAGCTTCAGTTCTTGCTGTGTGTCCCAGCCAGGCCTGTGCTGCCTCGGCACTCAAGTACTGCGCTCAGATGGTGCTTCTAAAAAGAAGCCCTGGGGGATTGCAGCCATCCCTGCACCCACTCCCACTGTCAGACTGATTCGGTGTATCTTTGTATGTGTGTGTGTGTGTAATTACT